GCAAAAATGGAAATTCTGCGAAAACTGTCAAAAATCGGTTGCCACATGCACGTCAACGTTAATGTTAACGTAAACATTAAAAAAGTGTTGACGTGTATATGTTGTGGTTCAACTGGTGCAGTGAGATTTGTACTTGTTGGATAGGAAGCAGGTGATTTTATTGGATTGTGAGTCATGCGTAGCACGTCAAGCACTGCTCTTCATTATGTTCATCAGTGACTTAACGCTGCTTGTTAACTGTCAGGTGACCACTATATACCTGATATACTCACGACACAATAGTTACAGCCTCTGTGGACGTCAGCAATGTAGCGAAAGATAGATGAATAGCCCCTTTTATATCTGTCTGTATTCGTTAAACCACGGGAACTACGTTTTTTCATTGCGCCAGGCTAGATTAAACTTTGATAAAACAATGCTAAATTGAGTATAATATAATTATTCAAAAAGTAAAAGAAGAAATAATTTAAAAGCCTTTTAAAGATTCAAATTTTGTAAAACATGGCTGGCAAAACTCGGTTGTCATGGTAACATCAATGTTGACGTAGACGTCACGACGACTTTTATGTTCCCCGATAAATTTTAGGAAAGGACGCTAAGTTTAGCGGTCATAGCTTGAACTTAGTTTTGAAGCTATTTAACTTTTTAGCGTGCGAGGGGGGCCTCAAAAGACCCCGTCGGTTTCTTCACATCATACTCTGCTTAATTCAATAACCTTACTGTTAAATGTAGAATAAATTCCCCAATGCACCCCAATGAAATAAGTACGCTCCAATAAAACAACAACAGTCAGCTTTGTTAAGGTGAAAATCAATACTGTATGAAGACAGAGAAGACGTATCACTAATACACTTGAATAATATTTAACATAAGGATATAACAAAATATAACTAGTATGCTATTACAGAGATTAATTACAAAAATTATTTATAGTGAATCACATTAATCATAAGTAAAAGGATAGAGAAATGATAGAAAGACATGTAGATGCAATGTCTTAGGCAAGTCACAAGCACATAGAAATAAAATAAATTTTAAACTGAATACTTCTCATTTATCTCTCATTTATATTGACGCATCTAATTTATCAACATATCAGTCGCTCCTGGGAATATTTGAAATAAAGCTGGATTCAGTTATTTAATTACCTCTTAAACAGGTTTTCAATTTGAGTTAGTACATGTTCTCTAGCTTTGAATGAAAGTCTCTTGTGACCAGTTCTTACTTTCAAACTGATCAATTGTAGTCTTACTCTTCGCGGTTTAAGTTGTTCCAGTCTAAGTTCATGCTTACGGCATGAGGCTCTTAGTTACATCAGAAACTTCTGAACCAGATTAGGTGTCTCGAACCCGAATGTTTGCTGGTGTAATTATCTTCTTTCTCTGGACTATTTATACGAAAGCAGCTTGGTCTCCAATGAAAATCCATCATAAAACATGCATGGATCACATATATACTGAACTTTATTATGACAATATTTTTTCGCGATTCTGAATGACTACCATATGACAAAGACGTCGCATTTGTTTTAGCTCCTAATCGAATTTCATTGTTTATTCGCCTGGGATCTTGCCTTCTATCGTGTGAAATTTTTCAAAAATCTATAAGAGGAATTTCGAGATATCTTGAAGGTTCTAGGTTCTATTAACTAGCAGCAATCAAAGATTAAAGTGCGTCGCCTTATGGCGTTAAACACCCAGATTCGTTTTATCATATACATCAGGTCTCGCCAAAAATCTTGGAATCGCCAAAACTCGATGAACAGTTAATTCTTTCCCTATCAGGCTTTGATCTACGAAATATTTAGAAGAGAAAAAGATTAATTAATATACGAAGAAAAGGATTTAACCTCGCAAAGTAACGTTCAAATAAAATTCACAATAAAGACGTAACGTTAGTTGCGCGCGCTGACTTTGAGAGGTTCAAATAAATTAAAGTTCACTTTCAATCCAGCTGGGTCTAGTGTCAGGTGTCATATAATCATTCTACACTTGAATATGATTGGGCATTTGATGGCGTAACCTCGTTTACGCTGACAGGAGGAATAATACGTACGAAACACGCTGCGCATGATGGTATATAATAAAACGTCACAAGCAGATTTTGCACCAACAGCCTCTTTTCTCGAACGCGCAGAGACTGCCCACGAAGTCACAGACCACCCAACGACTCCATTACGGAGCGTCTCCTTTGTGGACGTGCTTAAAGTGAAGTCTGGACCTTATGCAAATTAATTGCTACTTCTTTTGTGATTACGGAACGTTTTACCACTTATTTTTTTATTCTTCTCAAATGTTCTTTATACATTCTCCAGACCACTGGAGGCAGGTAAACTTGTCTGATTTCGAAAAAAGGAAAGTATATGCATCAGGGCGACTAGCGTCCCATGAGCGATAAAATCAGCATCCGTAAACAGATTTCCTTTAAGAATTTTCAGAGCCGCAATTAGTCTTTGTAAAATACATCCTTCGCATTGGCTGGAACATAGGACGTTTAACATCGAATTCCTTTTCAGGAAGCGTAAATTTACCGCACTGGCTGTTCCCCGAAACCTCCCGAAATATGATAATGTTCTAGAACTAGGGACCATTTTTCATCCCCTATTCTTTCTTCAGTGTATCGGCTTTTATGTATTCTCTTTCCATTCTCTTGTCTTTGCATGTTGAACCGATCGAGAGAGACTGGAGACCTCAAGTTACAAAAGCTGATACAAGGCAATTTTTCTCCATTTATGTTGTTGTTGTTGTTGTTTTTTCAAATTATTACCATATTTCGGAATCTGCAATCCATGTGTTATAATGGTTCATCAATAAAGACCAAACTGTTCCGTATGAAAACTCCACAGTTGCATTCAAAAATACTGGGTCGAGCCACCTTAACGTAGATAATACTGAAAACATATCTGAGTAAACACTAACTCATTGCGGCAATACATTCAGTATTAATTACTCTAACAATACTGAATATTCTAAACATATATTTCAACTCTTATTGCAGGCCAGCTGCGGTAACTGACGTAATAAAACCTAACAAATCTGGCTTTCAGGGCGGTAGAAAAAGCGTGCTTGACAATCGTATTTCGATCTGTGTTTCCTTGGAACACCTGCACATTGAAAATATAAAATTATATAGTTCAGATGGTTGATAAAAACTTCACTGAGAATTTATTGATACTCTGTGATCAGTATTTATATAATAATGCATCGTCCATGGATTGGTGGGACGGCATTTACCCCTACCTCTATGACGGCCTGACCTCTTTATATCCTAAGTTGATCGTTGTGTAGAGAGTCGACTACATACACAGTTTTACCATTATCTCACCTTCTCGGCATTGTTCTCTTTGTATGTATTCCAAGTGACTTCATCTTTAGACATCCGCAAAATGTAGCTTGTCGTGCGTTCGTCAATGTTACTTGCTCCTTGTGTTGCTACAGCACATACAGAATGTACAGTACCCAGGTCAACTTGAAGATAATCTGTTCTGGGACCTTTTTGGGTCTTTGGACACCATCCTCCATAACCTCGCGCCTCATTAAGTCGACCGTAGTATGGGTAATAACCAGAACTATAGTAGCTGCTAGCCGTCATTTGAGCGTTTGGAATCCTGTTTGGGTCTGCCACGCCCACGGGCTGACATCCTGAAAGAGGAGTTTGCGGATATCATTTTAAACACCTCTTAGTTGCTGAATTAGATGTCAGTACAAGTTTTACCCCAAGGGAAAAACGAAGCTCGTAAGTTATTTAATATCTCTCTGTGTTGAGTAGCAACAAATTATCGTTGAGTTTGTGACTTCAGTTATCTTCAGTGCTTGCCTTTCACTGAATACAGGTGCAACGCCTCTACCTGAAACCTTTAAGACAATCATTAAGTTGTATAAAGTTTGGAATATCTAGTTCTTTGTTTAGTTTTGTTTTTGTTTTTTGTCTTTTTAATTCTGTTTGCGAACTAATCTTCAGTTTGAAATTGTTCAAAGTTATCTCTTGTTTAAAACGGAATTACTTGACCAAGTTTTCCGTCCTTTACTTGTCACTTCTGTTTATTTTAATAAACTACTTATCAAAAAACGAAAAATTTCCCCGGTACAGGAAATTATTAACAAAAAAACATATTCCTAAGGATTATGGCCAAAACTTTCCATCTTACATGCCCCGAAAAAACATCTTGCATCTCTTGTAAATGCAAATATATGTAAATATCATATTATCCACTCCCCTCAGGGCTTTTCAGTAATAATAATAATAACGCGAATAAGTAGTCTACTATGTTGGAAATTAACCCCCTTTAGTGTGTTCTCCTGTCTTCCCCTGTCTTCCCTTAATTGATATGCATAAGCCTATGACGTCACCTCGGAAAGAAGTGTCTTCCTGCATACTAATTTGGATTAGGTTTACTAATGAGCGTCACTCTACTGCAATAGGAACAATAGGCTTGCCTAGACTTGCCCGGTAAGTAACTTGAGCCCGGTTTCGGACCGTCTATTAAAAGAAAAATAGGAATAAGAGAAACGATCACCTAGCAACGCGAGAAACGGCTTCCTATATCTTATTTAGCGCTAAAACTCAGATATACATAAACACAAAGGGAGTTGAAAAGTCTTTATTTCAATTTAGTTTACGTCTTCTTATTTAGCGCTAAAACTCGGATATATATAAACAAAACATACACAAATTGGAGCTGAAAACTCTTTATTTCAAGTTTGTCTGACATTTTCTCCTTTCTATCTCGAGGAAATGAAAGTCTTGTCATTTTCACGCGCTGTTAATCAGTTAATTATGCGAGTTCACAAGCCCAACGTTGAATACAAATTAGCTCTACAGGAAAAAACCCCAAGAGAGAACATTGACGTATTATTATAAAACAAATAACTTAACAAGGATCAATTAAAACACGCGACTCATAATTGCTAGCAATAAAAAGACAAGAGAGATATCGTTTTAAAAAAATTTATTAAAAAACAATGACAAAAAAGAGTCAAATACACAGGAATGGAAATTAATTAATCTTCATCTTCTTTCTCCTCTGTAGAAGGGGAATAGAAGTTGGTTTCCAACGTCTTCGTGTTTTTGTGTGTACTTGCTCCGCAATCGTGACATCGAAGAAAGCCCTCTTTCATGTAATGTCTCCCCTCGGGAATCTGGTGATCGCATATAGGACAAATCTTGTAGTAATCGTGCCAAAGGCATTTAGGACATTTCATGATCAATGTCCCGTACACATTAGAGTTTTCGCAGTGTTCACAGGGACTTTTGGAGTGAAAGGTGGTGGACGTTTCAGGGTTACTACTTTCTATCTCCTGACTGTCGTTTTCAGTGTCGTTGTCGCTCTCTTGGGTGTCTTCCACTTCAATGCCATTCTCAGAAGCCACTTCCTCCTCTTCCTCCTGATTTTCAATATCCGATGAACTCTCCTCATTATTACTCTCGTTATCGGAAGTATTTTCTACATTTTGGTAGCCTTTTTCCTTTTCTATTAAATCACTTAACAACTTTTTGTTCTTGATTAAACCTTTATCGATTCCTAACTCTCCATCTAGAAACGTATTCAGCGCACGAGGCTTGGTAACCTCATTGTTATGAGGGAGTAACACATACTCAGCTAGCTCAGCGATGTTTGTGACGGGAATAGTGCGTTTATTTCGAAGTAATTGTCCGCTAGGGGTCCAGAAAAGAATATCTTTGGACGCAGCCATACTATGCAGCAAATCAGAAGCACGCTTTTCCGGCACTGCTCGGGAAAGACGACTCAAAACATCTTTTATTCTCGGTCCTTCTTTTATTCTTGGTTCTTCATCCTCGCTTTCATCACCAGAACTTTCGCTTTCTTCATGTTCACTCTCGTGATCTTCTTCTTCAACCAAATCTATCTTTCTCTTCATTTTTGATGAGCACCCGTGACAGACTTAGCTTCGAATGATCAACCTAACGATGTGTCACCTCTTTTATAGCATTAGAAATCCTAAGCTTGAAACGACAGGGGCTAATACATCTTCAATAAAACCACTACCCTCTTGAACAAGGACTCGCTTCTTTGTTTTGAAAGGGACATTTGGACTGGCCAGGTTATATGGCAGCAATACCCGCTTATTTTCTTCGGAGATAGGAATGTGTCCCATGAGTAAATTGTATAAGACTTGGACTAGTGCATGAAGTTGCTGTGGTGTAGCTGTCTTTAAAAGAAACTGACGCTGATAAGCGGGACAAGCAGCTAACAGCTGAAGAAAACCACGATTGTTGTTCACTACACGAGACATTGCTACAAAATGAACTAAGAATGGCAGTTGGTAGTCTTTTATAGAATCTGGTGGAGGGAAAACAATAGAAATGTGGTGGCGGTGGTGGTGGTGGTGGAGGGAAAACAATAGGTATGTGGTGGTGGTGGAGGGAAAACAATAGAATTGTGGTGGTGGTGGTGGTGGTGGAGGAAAAACAATAGGTATGTGGTGGTGGTGGTGGTGGTGGTGGTGGTGGAGGGAAAACAATAGAAATGTGGTGGCGGTGGTGGTGGTGGTGGTGGTGGTGGGAAACAATAGAAATGTGGTGGTGGTGGTGGTGGTGGAGGGAAAACAATAGAAATGTGGTGGTGGTGGAGGGAAAACAATAGAAATGCGGTGGTGGTGGTGGTGGGAAAACAATAGAAATGTGGTGGTGGTGGCGGTAGAGGGAAAACAATAGAAATGTGGTGGCGGTGGTGGTGGTGGTGGTGGTGGTGGTGGAGGGAAAACAATGGAAATGTGGTGGTGGTGGTGGTGGAGGGAAAACAATAGAAATGTGGTGGTGGTGGTGGTGGAGGAGGAAAAACAATAGATATGTGGTGGTGGTGGAGGGAAAACAATAGAAATGTGGTGGTGGTGGTGGTGGTGGAGGGAAAACAATACAAATGTGGTGGCGGTGGTGGTGGTGGTGGTGGTGGTGGAGGGAAACAATAGAAATGTGGTGGTGGTGGTGGTGGAGGGAAAACAATAGAAATGTGGTGGTGGTTGTGGTGGGAAAACAATAGAAATGTGGTGGTGGTGGTGGTGGAGGGAAAACAATAGAAATGTGGTGGCGGTGGTGGTGGTGGTGGTGGTGGTGGACGGAAAACAATAGAAATGTGGTGGTGGTGGAGGGAAAACAATAGAAATGCGGTGGTGGTGGTGGTGGGAAAACAATAGAAATGTGGTGGTGGTGGCGGTAGAGGGAAAACAATAGAAATGTGGTGGCGGTGGTGGTGGTGGTGGTGGTGGTGGTGGTGGTGGTGGAGGGAAAACAATGGAAATGTGGTGGTGGTGGTGGTGGTGGAGGGAAAACAATAGAAATGTGGTGGTGGTGGTGGTGGTGGTGGAGGAGGAAAAACAATAGATATGTGGTGGTGGTGGAGGGAAAACAATAGAAATGTGGTGGTGGTGGAGGGAAAACAATACAAATGTGGTGGCGGTGGTGGTGGTGGTGGTGGTGGTGGAGGGAAACAATAGAAATGTGGTGGTGGTGGTGGTGGAGGGAAAACAATACAAATGTGGTGGTGGTTGTGGTGGGAAAACAATAGAAATGTGGTGGTGGTGGTGGAGGGAAAACAATAGAAATGTGGTGGCGGTGATGGTGGTGGTGGTGGTGGTGGAGGGAAAACAATGGAAATGTGGTGGTGGTGGAGGGAAAACAATAGAAATGTGGTGGTGGTGGTGGTGGAGGAGGAAAAACAATAGATATGTGGTGGTGGTGGAGGGAAAACAATAGAAATGTGGTGGTGGTGGTGGTGGTGGAGGGAAAACAATAGAAATGTGGTGGTGGTGGTGGAGGGAAAACAATAGAAATGTGGTGGCGGCGGTGGTGGTGGCGGTGGTGGTGTTGGTGGAGGGAAACAATAGAAATGTGGTGGTGGTGGTGGTGGTGGTGGAGGGAAAACAATAGAAATGTGGTGGTGGTGGTGGTGGTGGAGGGAAAACAATAGAAATGTGGTGGTGGTGGTGGTGGTGGTGGTCTTGGGGGCGGAAAACAATAGAATCTTGTGGTCTGAAAACCTATATAAATGCGCAACATTCTACCTCCTTCTCAGTCTACATTTTGCTCCTGAGGAGTTGACATGAGTTGGTTCTGTTCTGTCTGCGAAAAATCCTTTAGTAGAAAAGATAGTATGCAAAGACACGTGATGTCTAAACACCGCAATGCTGGTCTCACCCCATTTCAAACAGTTCCAGTATTTTCACAGAAATGTCAGCGGTTTCGCTTCGAGCATCCTTTCACCTCCATGATTGCCGGAATGACCGGGTCCGGAAAAACGGCCTGGGTTCGATCGCTATTGCAACAAGCTTCAGAGACCATTTACCCTCCCCCGGAGAGGATCGTTTGGTGTTATTCACAATGGCAGCCTGCGTATACACAAATGATAGTCGCTATGCCAAACATTGAATTCGTCAAGGGAATTCCTACGGCTTTGGAGCAAGATTCCTATTTTGATGTGAACAAACGGAATTTGATCGTGTTTGATGATCAGATGATTGACGCCAGTAAAGACAAGCGAATTGTGAACCTCTTTACTCGTGGTTCTCATCATCGCAATCTGAGCGTGATTTATATCGTGCAGAATCTATTTCATCAGGGGAAAGGCAGCCGCAGCATAAGCCTAAACAGCCATTATCTGGTGTTATTCAATAATCCACGAGACAAATTGCAAATCTTGACTCTGGCGAAGCAAATGTATCCTGGGCAGACTGATTTCTTTTTAAATAAGTACGAAGAGGCTGTAAAAAGACCTTTTGGTTATCTTCTGATTGATCTGAAAACTACTACATACCCAAGATAATTGTCGGATGCGAACAAACGTCCTGCCCAGTGAAGAAGGCTTTAACCAAGCAGGGTTTCAAGAAAATATTTCTCAAGAGCTCCTAAAATATCTGAAGCAGCAAACTCTTTCGCCTGTCCCACTTCTTCCAGCTATGCAAGAAATACAGGGCAACATGGATGACGTGCTTTCTCGAAACGATCTTCGGGACGATAAAAAAGCTAAGCGATACGTTCAGTTGCAGAACAGATACCTGGCTTTTAAAGAACAATTAAATACAAGAACACGACCGGAAGAAATAATCAGTACTGTTCCAGACTTAACATCAAGGACACAAGATTCTTCGACAGCAACGACAGCATTCTCGACTCCCCTCAACCCCTTTAATGTAACACCTGAATTAACACAAGCGGCTATCTCTCAAAAAGCTGACAAAGAAAGCCTCACCCCTCCACCACCCTTAAATTCTGCTTTCCTGACCCCTACTCCCACAGTAGAAACCCCATCACCACAAGGACCGAGGCGCAAAAGGCGTCGGATTCAATTTCTAAATTATTTGGATGATCATAAATCTCATGGCAAGCAGCTGAAGAAACGTCGGCATAAGAAATTCAAACCTTACAAGTACTCCATGGGCGAAGAAGATGAAGATTAATTAATTTCCATTCCTGTGTATTTGACTCTTTTTTGTCATTGTTTTTTAATAAATTTTTTTAAAACGATATCTCTCTTGTCTTTTTATTGCTAGCAATTATGAGTCGCGTGTTTTAATTGATCCTTGTTAAGTTATTTGTTTTATAATAATACGTCAATGTTCTCTCTTGGGGTTTTTTCCTGTAGAGCTAATTTGTATTCAACTTTGGGCTTGTGAACTCGCATAATTAACTGATTAACAGCGCGTGAAAATGACAAGACTTTCATTTCCTCGAGATAGAAAGGAGAAAATGTCAGACAAACTTGAAATAAAGAGTTTTCAGCTCCAATTTGTGTATGTTTTGTTTATATATATCCGAGTTTTAGCGCTAAATAAGAAGACGTAAACTAAATTGAAATAAAGACTTTTCAACTCCCTTTGTGTTAATGTATATCTGAGTTTTAGCGCTAAATAAGATATAGGAAGCCGTTTCTCGCGTTGCTAGGTGATCGTTTCTCTTATTCCTATTTTTCTTTTAATAGACGGTCCGAAACCGGGCTCAAGTTACTTACCGGGCAAGTCTAGGCAAGCCTATTGTTCCTATTGTAGTAGAGTGACGCTCATTAGTAAACCTAATCCAAATTAGTATGCAGGAAGACACTTCTTTCCGAGGTGACGTCATAGGCTTATGCATATCAATTAAGGGAAGACAGGGGATGACAGGGGAAGACACTAAAGGGGGTTAATTTCCAACATATGCCGTGTTTAGACTTGAGCGTTCTACCGAGGTATTGGAGTTAACTTACCTAGGTAAATATTTTGCGTGTGTAAACGCCAACTGATACCCTGGTAAACACCGCTCAAGACAATAGAAAGTCAACTAAGGTAAAAGTTCGGTTTACCGTGCGAGCAGGCATGGTTAAGGTTGGTAACCAAGGTTTGGATGACAGATACATCCGCTTACGGTCGCATAGAATTTCACATCCTGTGGTGTCGGGATTACGTCAGTGTTTGCGAACGTACGTCTTGATATTCTAAAGTTCTCCTTCCACCATTCTTCAAGAAAATTTCCGTTTAATAGAGTTTCGAACCAGAATTGGTTTCTCGGCCACGACCACGCACGTCTAACGCGCCTTGTCTTGCGAAGGGCAATTTGTAGCAGAATTAATCGCTTTCACCTCGACCTCTTTAAGTGCTGCAAAAGTAAGAGCTGCTGCAATCTCGATTCCCGGGTTTGCTGATCAAGAACAAAGAAAATAAAACGCGAGGACTACAAGAACCACAGCTTCTCTTTTAAACGC